AGTGCCACAGCCCAAGTGATCACGAAAGGAAGACATCTGCCTTCATGCCGCTGGATAGCCACAAGCAGGGATTATTTTAACCCGAGGCGTCTCCCTTCCTCTAAGTCCTAGGAGTAGTGGGCATCAGCCGTAGGAAAGGCCGGAAGTGACTGGCCGGAAGTGAGGAAGCGGAAGTGGGGGAGGGCGTGAGCTCTCTGGCCTGGTTGGAGGAGGGGGATCAGCTTGCGGGGGTGGGGGGAGGGGCGGTCAGGCCTTGTGTTCGGGAGAGAAAAGGCCTAGATTCCAGGCGCCGGACATTCCCCTCAGGTAGTAGCCTCTTATTTGGGGGTGGGGTGGGGATGGAGGGGGCCTGGAGGGGCTTGGAGGGGTGCTTTCCGACTGCCCATACCATGCGGGTCCCTACGCCTTGTCAGGGCAGGCGGGAAGGGGACAAGGCCCGCAGGTCTCCCTGAGGGAAGGTCACTGTTGTGTGACGCCGTTACATCACTCCCTCCTTCTAGAAGCTTCTCCAATACCCAACCTCCCACTCCCACTACATTGCGCGCTCTCTGAGGGCAGTCACTGGTCTGAGTTGTCTGTGTGACCCAGTGCACGCCACACGGCCTGCATGGAACACAGTGGTCGTTCTGAAACCATTGTTGAATGAATTAAGTGATGCTAAGGAATGACCCTGGATACCGGAAGCTGATTCTCCCTCTGCTCTTTACGTTCACTTCTTTGCGGAGCATGTCATGTCTTTCCCACCACCCCTTATGCTGCAGATGGGGAAACTGAGGCTCGGAGAAGCCTTAATAAGAAATGGCAGACTAGGACCTCGAATCCATGCCTCTGGAGCCCTAATTAAAGTAATGAGGTGAGGTACTGAATGCTTAGGTGTGAGCACAGTTTTGAGCCTCCAGTGAAGAGTAGCGCTTACACAGGACTTCCCTGATGGTTCTCAGTGGTTAGGATCCACCTGCAATGCCTGATGGTCCCCACCTGTGATCCCTGGATGGGTACCATCCCCTGGAGAAGGAAATGGCAACCCACTCCAGCATTATTGTCTGGGAAATCCCATGGACAGAAGAAGCCTGGTGGGCTACAGTCCTTGGGGGTCACAAAGAGTGGGACATGACTTAGTGACTAAACAACAACAGCATGCCATTTACACCAGAGGGTGGAAGCTGTCTAGTGTTCCTGTTTCTCTGTTTCTTAGAAATGGAGCCTGTTACATGGTAAGCTCTGGGAAATAATAGTTGAGTGATTTAGTGAACACACAGGCAGGACTCAAGTTAGTTTCTCTGCCTCTTGCAGTGTGTTTTCCATCAAAACAGTAACACCTGCTAATGCCCTGGTGATCTCTATAATCCTTCTTCCAAAACAATCTTGGCCAGAGTTTATTTTCTCCTGAGTTGATCTCATGTCTACAGGCAGAATCCATATAAACAAAAGACCTGTTCTGTCTTCATAGCATTACCCTAAATGTGTCTTTCCAAAGATGCCTCTTGGTACTCAGCCTCTTAGATGCTGTTGTCGTTATTGTCCTAAATCTTTGGATAAAGTCAGTGTAGCTCCTCAATCTCTCATTCTCAGTTCTGACATCCAAGAAGTTTTGAAAACCACTTTCCCCCCCCTAACTTATCTGGCTACAAGATTTGAACTGAAACAGCCATTTGTCTTTACTTATTACAAATATTTGCAAATTTTTATTGCAGTCATGTTGATGTGTTTAATTGTTCAGACCTCTTTACTTACCCCAGACCTTTCTGTGGATATCATGTAATATACAGTGTAGGCATGGCATTAATTTTCAAAAGTTTTCCGCACCCACCCCCCCCCCCCAATTAAGTTTGAAGTCCATAACTTATCTGGCCTCAAAAGATTCAGATAAGAGATTGTGGACCTGTAGTTTAATGTCACTTGGCAACTTAAATGGTCTCCTGTTCAGGTGAAGTTGGGGGAGAAAACAGCCTTTGTCAAAGAGTTGAGTAAGTGGGTAAATGGAATAAGAAAATTAAGAGACGTTTTATACCTCATTATTTGTTTATCTTGGAAGTGTTGAAGGAAGAAAGCTCCTTAACTAACTGATGTTTTTGAATGTATGCAGAATGTTTTATATTTATTATACCTTCCACAAATCTATATAAAGATAAATACTCAAGAAGTACTTATTGATTGATTTGAAAATGTTTGCTTATGACTCTAAAGTTAAAACTAGATATTAACTCTAGATTCCTAAGCAAACATTAGAATTTTACTTGACAATTGCAAGGGTTGGATTATATTTTTAAATGTCATATTTATAGCCCAAAGCTGTAGAATCAATTCATGTTTATCCCAAAGCAAAATCAATCCACCACTTGGTCATTCACGCAACATATTGAGTGCCTGCTGGGTACCTGTTTATGCAGTAGAATTTACTGATAGGTAAGATGATCATGGTTGCTGCTCTCAAGAAGTTTCTAATCTGATGGTTGAGAAAGATGAAGAGAAAATGACAAACACATAATTATGCATCCTGATAAGTGTCATAAAGGAAATAAACTGGGTCTGAAAATAGCATGATGGGAGGACCTAAGTAGTAAGTGTGGTGGATGAAGGCCTCTCAGAGGAGAAAACCCAAATTTATAACATGAAATATCTTACTTCCCTCCATTTCTATATATTATAAGGACTTGGATAGCCAGACAGCCAAAATTCAGGTGTGAACATTTATCCTCTTGGGCACTACTTTTGTCTTATATTATATCACTATATTTACAATCTCAAACTTTTGAAGGACTGAGTAAACTGAGCGTTTGCATATAGCTAGGTGTCTGAAACACATAATAAACCAACCTAATTTACAATGAACACAAATGAATTTCTTGTTAGCTTAAGATGATTTCAAGATTTAAAGTAGTAGAATGGTGTGTTATGTATTCTGTGTTCATGTCACAATGTACTGTACATTAGTAAATAATACTAATTCACTTATCCAGACATTTTTATTTAGTTTTTTGAATGTTTAAGAATATATTTAATTTTGATAAGTCCAGCACATCCCATTGTGAACTACGCTATTGGATGGAATGCTAGTATGTAGATAATTTTCTGTGACAGAAACTTCATTTAAGAAAACATTTTTTAAATTTAAAAATGCAGGTTAAGAATAGAGGAAAACCTGGATATTATGATTTTGTCCCTCCAAAATATACATAGGTAGCTATTTGAAAAAGAAAAAAGTTTTAACAACTGTGTTCAAGTCTAGCAAGTTATGATTCTAACAAGGCTTTTTTTTTTTTAATAGACTTGTGAAGAAACAGATCAATATTTGTTGCTCCAAGCCAATGTCACAGTACATCGCTGCATTGAATGAACTTGGTAGAGGGCAAAAAAGGACAATAGAAAAAGAAAACCCTCATGATTGAAAATTTTAATAGCTTATTGAAACACATTATAAGTCGAGTTTTCACTGTAGGAGTGAGTCAGATAAAAATGTCTGTATTCAAAGTGCAAACAGGAGAGAAAATCAGAAAATTGTAAAAACACACAATTTCTCTTTTTCTGTCTAGGGTTGATGATGGTCTCTTTAGGAGAAATCTTAATTAAACAGATACATTTTCTATCTTGTTTATTTGAGAATGTGTTGCACTTTTACCAAAAACAAAAATGACTACTTATTCCCTTCTCTTATTTTTTAAAAAAGAAGTGATAGTTTATTTAGGTTGCTTCTGAAAATTATGTCTTCCTTAAATACATACAGAGAAATTAATCAAGCCTGAGGTTAAAATTGAGAAGGTCAAGGAAGAGAAACAAAACTGAAAATAGCAAGCACATTTGTTATGGATTTTTAGCAATTTTCTTTAGTATGTGTGTACTTTCTCTAGTAAAATCTGATTATAGATTGTTGAGCTTTCATTGGGTCTGGATGCTCATCAGGGAATATTTTTCTAAAGTTGAGTAAAGAAAGTAGTTTAACCTTTTCCTTTGACTTGCCAGCCTTACCAGGACTAAAATATTGGTTTAGGGTGCCGTGGGTTACATGTGGAGTCCACTGACGACAATTTCTGAATAGTTGATGATCCTTCTTATTAACTAGAAAACAGATCATATTTAGATTTGATTCTAATGACTTGTAAGTTCTGAAAAGGATACAACCAGAGGTCAGTTGATGGTTTTAAGACTCAGTTTTCTCTTGATTACTCTCAGGACATAACATATTTATACATGACAACAAATCTTGACATGTCGCAGTGCAGGTTCCATTTTCTTGTCCACCATTAATTTGTCCACTGTCCTTGTAATGCTTTATAATAATTTTATTTCTGGCCAAAGAGGTTCAAGGATACTTTTTAAAAAAAATTTTGACTGTGTTAGATCTCTGTTGCTGCACATGGGCTTTCTCTAGTTTTGGTGAGTGGGGGCTACTCTCTAGTTGTGGTGCCTGGGCTTCTCATTGCAGTGGCTTCTCTTGTTGTGGAGCACGGGCTCTAGAGCATGCAGTCTTCAGTAGTTGTGATACATGGGCTTACTTGCCTTGCAGAATGTGGAATCTTCCTGGACCAAAGATCAAACCTATGTCCCCTGGCATTGGCAGGCAGATTCTTAACCACTGGACCACCAGGGAAGTCCCAATGGTACTTTCAATGGAAACTTTTAGGTCTCAAAAGACCACTTATGTTTCTTTAAATAACATAGGCTAATCCCTCATGAGATATTTTCCCGTATTTATCCTAGGAACATTTATATGGCCCCCTCAATTCTGGCTGATGTACATGAGGCACTGATTTGGAAACTACAGCTAGATTTTTCAGACTGAATTGCTCTTCTGGAGACATTTTAAAAATATTTAACTTACTTATTTTTTTGTGTATTCCTTTGCAGAAAATTGATACCTTGTCAAGATGGCGATTAGTCATTTGTATTTGGGAGCAGCAGACTTGGGGACCAACTACCTCTCAAGGATCCTATAAACCAATGACATAAACACCTATTCTGTTGCTTTCATCCTCCATCTTACCTTCAAATTTGTCTCACCTATGGCATTCAGGAGGCAAGTGAAAAACTTTGTGAAAAATTACTCAGATGCTGAAATAAAAGTCAGGGAAGCAACTTCTAATGACCCATGGGGTCCTTCCAGTTCTCTAATGTTAGATATCAGTGACCTGACTTTCAACACAGTTTCTCTCTCTGAAATTATGAACATGCTATGGCAGAGACTCAATGACCACGGGAAGAACTGGCGCCATGTGTATAAATCTCTTACCTTAATGGATTATCTCATCAAGAATGGATCAAAGAAAGTTATTCAGCATTGCAGAGAGGGGTACCGTAACCTTCAAACTCTGAAAGATTTTCAACACATAGACGAAGCTGGGAAAGATCAAGGTACCAGATGAACAAGTTTATACAGTGCGCTAGTAAAGAGTAAGAGTGTGGGAGGAGGTCACTTTAAAGCAGAAGCTGGGGAAAAGTAGTTCTTAAATGTACTATCTTCCTTTCCTCTGGGACAGTTTGGGTTTCCAGTTTAATCCTTTGTGTTGACTCTTGAGTGCCTTTGAAAACAATGTATATATATATTTCAAAATGATGTGTAAAACTAACACAGTTAGGTGCCTGATAAAAGGACACCTTGTAGACAATGAACATAAAAGAGACCTTGTAGTATTCATCTTTCTCAGCCTGACTTATTTCACTTAGCATAATGCCCTCAAGGTCCATTCATGTTGTTGCACAAGGCAAGATTTCATTCTTTCAGACCTCGAGGGCATTATGCAAAGTGAAATAAGTCAGACAGAGAAAGACAAATATTGTATGATTTCTCTTACATGTGGAGTTAAAAAAAAGAAAGTTTATAGGTACAGAGAACAGATTAGCAGTTGTCAGAGGTGGAGGGAGGGAAGAAAATGTGTGAATTATTTTTGTTTTAGTCTAAATAAATTGATTTTAAAAATAAAGTGAAAAAAAAAACCCCAAACAAGTATATCACAAAGTTAAAAAGTGGAACTTGAGTTCCTGCTTAATTTGCATATGACAAAATAGCAATGAATAATTTTCCATGAGCATGCTTCATGATTGAAGTCATAGAACTATGTCCTTGGAGTAAATGTGTTATTTTAGGGAGCCGATCCAAACTATTACCCTTGGTACCATTTTATAAAGATACAGGATATCATATTAAGATCTCTTTGATGAGTTAAAAGCTCAGAGTCTGTTATCAAATAGGGTTTTCTTTCAACCTGGGGTTGAATCCTGACTCTGCTGCTGCCTAACTGTATATACTAAGGTAATTTATTAGATTACCTGAGGCCTCAGTTTAGCTCTCTGTACATTGGGATAATAACAATGTCTCATAGGATGGTTGTGAGGAGTGTAAATATGTTTGCCTTTTTCTCCCCAAAGGATGTCAGCTCCATGAGGGCAGGGACTTTGTCTGCCTTGCCCATTGCTGGTTCTCAGCAGAAGAGGTGCCATCAACCTTTGTTGCGAGAGATAATAAATGGAAGAAAGAATATGCAATTGTCCCAATTTTGTTTAAAAAATTATATTTATGTATATGAAATTTATTATATAAGAGTTTTAACAAGTGGTCCTGGTAGGACTAGAGATGATTTAAAAAAAAAAATTTTGCTGTTGTGTTTTTTTGTTTGTTTTGGCTGTCCTGCACGGCCTGCAAGATCTTAGTTCCCATACTAGGGATCAAACCTGCACCTTCTGCAATGGAAGCTCAGAGTCTTAACCACTGGAGTGCCAAGGGAAGTCCCTAGAGATGATTTTTATTTTGTTTTATATAAATTTGTATATCTTAAAACACAGTTTATAATTAGACCAAACAAAACTAACATGACCATGTGAAAAAAAAAAGAACAAAGTGAATAAACTAGGAGGCATGACAACTTGATATAATAATGTCACTGTAATTCGTAATTATAATTAGACTGGAATTTAGTCATAAGTGTGATAAACTGTTTCCAAAGACTATAGACTCTTCAGAAACTATGATGGGAGTAGTTTTATGAATACAGAAATTTAGGTCATGAAGTAATATTGTCGGGGGGTGGAAGAGAAGTAGGGAAAGGCTGCATAGGATATTGCACTGGGATGATTCAGTAGTGCCTGATATTGTTCTACAGTGGTAAAGAATCAGCACTTCCTCCCATCTAAAGTCAAATTGTAACTTGTTAAAGTGAATAGCCTTATGAATCATGAGAAGAGGATAAAATTCAGTGCAGTCTCTGTTAAGTATACCTTTTAAAAATAGAGTCTTTTTTAGAGCAGTTTTAGGGTTACAGAAAAATGGTGCAAAAAGTAGAGTTCCCACACATCCTTCCCCACCCACACATGGTTTCTCCTGTTAACATCTTGCATTAGTGGTGTACATTTGTTACAATTAAACCAGTGTTGATACATTAATATTAACTAATAGTCCTTAGTTTACACAAAGTATTCACGGTTTGTGTTCTGCAGTTCTGTGGGTTTTGAAAAATGCATAATGTCATGTATCTACCGTTCCAGTATTGTGCAGAATAGTTTAACTGCCTTGAAAGTGCCCTGTGTTCCACCTATCAATCCTTTCTCGCCTGCCTTGAGCCCTTGGCAGTCACTGATCTTTTTATTGTTTCTATAGTTTTGTTTTTTCCAGACTGTCATATAGTTGGAATCATTCTGTATGTAGCTTTTTCAGAATTGTTTTTTCTCTTAGCAATATGCTTTTAAGCTTCTTCTATATCTTTTATAACTTGAGAGATGATTTCTTTTTTTTTCTTTAAAAAACAGCTTTATTGAGACATAATTCATACACCATAGAGTTCACCCATTTAGAGGGCACAATCCTATGACTTTTGGTGTATAATTAATTTTTAAAATTGAGATAAAATAAATGTAACATAAAATTTGCCATTTTAAGTGTATGCTTCAGTGGCGTTCATTACATTCACATTGTGGCACAACCATCACCACTGTCTGTTTCCAAACTTTTTCATCATCCAAACAGGAGCTCTGTAAGCATTCAGCAGCGACTCCCTTGCTAACCTCTGATCCACTTCTTATCTCTGTAATTTTGCCTATTTTGGGTACCTCGTAAAATGGAATCATGTAGTACTTGTTTTTTTGTGTGTCTGGCTTATGTCACTTACCATGTCCTCCAAGTTCAGCCATGTTAGAGGATGTATCAGAACTTCATTCTTTTTATGCTGAATCACATTAATTTGTAGGTATTTAACCACATTTTGTTTATCTGTTCATCTGTTAATGGGTTCTTGGTTGTTTTCACCTTTTGGCTATTGTGAATAATGCTACAATGAACTCTAGTGTACAAGGTATCAGAGTCCTGATTTCCATTTCTTTCTTTCAGAAAGTATACTTAGGAGTGGAATTACTGGGTCATGTGGTAAGTCAATATTTAGCTTTTTGAGGAACCACTAAACTGTTTTTCTTAGCAGCAGCACCATTTTACATTCCCACCAGCAGTGTATTAATAGGAGGATTGCTGTTAACATCCTTGGTAATCCTGTTATTGTTTTATCTTTTTTATTATAACCATTCTGCTGGATGTGAAGCAATATTACTATCTGACTGTGGTTTTAATTTACAGTTTCCTGAAGACTGATGATGTTGAGCATCTTCTCATGTCTTTGTTGGGCCATTTATATGTCTTCTTTAGAGAAATATCTATCCAAATTCTTTGCCCATTAAAAAAAATTTTTTTTTGAGTTTTTAAAGAGTTCGTTATATATTTTGGATATAAGACCTTTATCCAGGTAGGTGATTTGCAGGTATCTTCTCCCATTCTATATAGGTTTTTTTTTTCCTTTCTTGATTAAATTTTGAAGAAGTCCATTTTATCTGTTTTTCCTTTGGTTGCTTGTACTTTGTGTCACAAGTAAGAACTCATTGCCTAGTCTAAAGTCACAAATATTTACACCTATGTTTTCTTATTAAGAGTTTTGTAGTTTTAGCTGTTGCATTTATCTTGCGTCCATTTTGAATTTATTTTTATATATGGTGGGATGTAGAGATCCAAACTTATTCTTTTATACCCAGTTGTCCCACTACTATTTGCTGAAAAGAGTATTCTTTCCTCATTGAATTATATTGACATGCTTACAGAAATCAATCAACCTTAGATATACGGGCTTATTTCTGTACTCTTAATTCTGTTCCATTGATCTATGCATCTAGTCTTATGCCTGTGCCACACTATTTTGATTATTGTAGCTTTGTAGTAAGTTTTGAAATAAAGGAATATGACTTTATTTCCAACTCCAACTTTGTTCTTTTCTGGTATTGTTATGGCTGTTGTGGGTTCCTTACATTTCCATATCAAGTTTAGCATCAGCTTGTCAATTTCTTCAAAAAAGACATCTAGAATTTTGTTTGACATTACGTTGAGTCTGAAGATCAATTTCAGGAATATTGCCATATAAATAATATTATTTCCTCAATTTCATAAACGTAAGAAATCATTTCTTTTATTTAGGTCTTCTTTCATTTCTTTCAAACATGTTCTATAGTATTCATTGTACAAGTTTTATTTCTTTTGTTAAAATTTATTTCTACTTTTTTTTTGGTAGTACTATAAATGAAATGACGGGTACTTCTGTGGAAGTCCAGTGGTTAAGACTCCGCACTTCTACTGCAGTAAGCACGGGAACTAAGATCTTGCACAGACCACCCCCCCCAAAAAAAAACCCACAAAAAATTGTTTTCTTAATTTCATTTTCAGATTTTTCATTGCTAATGTGTAGAAATTCAGCTGGTCATCTGATTTTTGTATATTAATCTTGTATTTTATTACTCTGCTATAATATTTTCTGTAATAACTATTAGTTATAATACTTTTGGGATGTTTTGGTCTTTTTTTTGGGGTAGATTTCTTTGAATTTCCTACATACAAGATTATGTCATCTGCAAATAGAGATAATTTTACTTCTTCCTTTCTACTCTGGGAGCCTCTTATTTCTTTTTCTCTTTTAGTTGCTCTGTCTAAAACCTCCTGTACAATGATGAATAGAGATGGTGAGAACAGACATTCTTGTGTCGTTCCTGATCTTAAGAGCTTCAGTCTTTCACCATTAAGTATGATGTTCCATCTGTCATGTGCTCAGTAGTGTCTGGCTCTTTTGCGACCCCATGAACTGTAGCCCACCAGGCTCCTCTGTCCATGGGATTTTCCAGGCAGAATACTGGAGTGGGTTGTCATTTCCTCCTCCAGGGTGTCTTCCCAACCCAGGGATCAAAACTGAATCTCCTGCATTGCAGGCAGATTCTTTCCCATTGAGTCATTGGGGAGGCCCTGAGTATGATATTAGGGATGGGTTTTTCATAGGTACTCTTTATAAGGTTGCTAGAGTTCTTTCCTGTTTCTAGTCTGTTGAGCATCTTTCTCA